ACTCGTCCCAGGATGCCCCGCGGGAGCGCCGGCCCGCCGCGCGCGGCCTTCTGGGCAATGTAGTCCTTTGGCCCGGAGAGCTGGGGAGTCGCGCTGGGCGGGCAGCGCTTGCGTTCCAGGTGGGCTCGAGGGGTCCGCGGGTTCGCGGGTCCTCTCCGGCAGCTGGCCGCTCATCCAATCCTCGTTTAAAGTTTATCCCTATTGCTCTTCGCAGTCCACACTGGTTGCAGTGCAGTGCCCAAAGACCACTTGTCTTCTGTTTTTTACTTTTTAAAATTTTATTTTTGTTTAAAATATTACAGATGTCCCTTTTTCTCCCCAATGACCCGTTCCACCCCGTCCCTTCCCCCTCCCCAGTCCCTCTCCCCACCATTGTCCGTGTCCTTGGGTTGTGCATATCTGCATATAAATTCTTTGGTTACTCTCTCCCCCTCCACCCGCCCTCCTCCCTCCCTCTGACATTCGTCAGTCTCATCTATGCTTCCATGTCATCACTTGTCTTTTGTAATGGCCAGTTCCCAAGTTCCCTAAACCATGGAGACGTGTGTAGGGCTTCGACGTGGCCACTTTCACATGCATTTCCCAGGGTCTCTCTAGTGGAAAATGTGCCACGTGACCTGGAACCTTTCTACTGTCTTCAGTGTTTGTTTTGTCTGCACCAACTCTAAGGAGCATGCACAAGAATACACTACAAATGCCTCCAAATGATCCCCTCTGGCTGACTTGACTACCTTCAGTGGACTGTGCCCACAGCTCAGGTGTGCAGGCTCCAGGTCTGGCACCTCCCGGGCCCAATCCAGCCTCCACCCCGGAATGCATGAGGAAGACAGCGAGAAAAACCCTTAGGACTTGAGCTGAGGGTTGGAGAGGCTGAGAACAGCTGCGAGGCGGGAGTCCCAGGGACAGCCAGCCTGAGGGTTTGTAGGTAGAACATAGAGGGGGCTCCGGTGGCTGGAGTGTTCAGAGGAGTTGGTGGGGAACGAACTGGAGGCAGCAGACCAGCTAGGAGGCCGGAGGCCTAGCGCAGGAAACCGCAGTGGGAATGGCCTGTTCTCGGTTCTCATTGGTCTCCACCGGGCCTGTGGCCCCTCGGCAGCCTCCTCTCCGTGATCCGCCTCCCCGGCCCCGTGGCCTGCCTTCCCACTGCTCCTCTGTCTGCCCTTTGCTGCTGCTTTGCTGGCTGTGCTTAATCTCCCTCCTCCAAATAATAGATATTCCTCAAACTCCCATTCCCTGATCAAGACCGAGCACCGGGAGGTTAGCTCCGCCAGCACACAGGCTGTTAAAAGCCGAGCGATGGTTGGCCTGGAGGCTGAGATGTCTCTGAATTGAGTGCCTCTGCCCCTGGAAAGTCCAGAGGGTGACCGTGGCATGAACTACAAGAAGCAGACAGGTCAGCGGGCGATGCAAAACCTGCTCTGTCAAAGAAAAAGACCAGAGGAGGGCTGGCTCTGTCCATCACCCGGGCTGAGGTTCAGTAGCTCCCTGGCAAAAAGCGGTAAGTTGCTTTTCTTTTCTTTTCTTTTTTCTTTTCTTTTCTTTTCTTTTCTTTTCTTTTCTTTTCTTTTCTTTTCTTTTCTTTTCTTTTCCTTTCCTTTCCTTTCCTTTCTTTCATAAATATTAAGTAAACCTCTGTATTAATTTAATGAGCATCTACTAAGTGGCAGGCACAGGACTAGAAGCTTGAGATTTAATATTAATCTGTCATAGGGCCCTCAATTCATGGAGCTCACTCTCTAGTGCAGAAAACGACAGAAAAGCGAGATGACAGCTGTAGTGATAAGTAACCTGAAAGAAATAACAAAGGCCTGTGACAGTAAATGGCAAGGATGGGGGCGGGGCTGTTTCTGATGTTGGTGTCGGAGCAGACTTCTTAGAGGAGACCTCCCCAATGAGGAGGCACACGAAGAGCCCGGGAAAGACCCCTCCGGGCTGAGAAAACAGCAAATACAAAGATCCCGAGGTGGGAAAGAAACTGTCCTGTTCCAGACGCAGGAAGGAGACCTTGACTGAGTAGAGTAAGCAAGTGGAGGCTGGTTACAGAGGCGCACGGGAGCTGGACTCACCCACCTTTTGCCCAAGGGAAGGATATTTTCTGACTGCAACAGGAAGCCATTCAATGGTGTTTCATAAAGAGAGCACAGTGACTGATGTTTGAACAGACCCCTCTGGCTTCCCTCTGCAGGGCAAGAAGCAGAAAGACCAGTTTAGGAGGCTGTTCTTAGAATCCAAGCAAGAGATGATGGTGGACTGATGTCCGAGGCAGTCAAGAGAGGGGCAGGTGTGAGATCTCTTTTGGAGATAAGACAGGCCTTGGTCACGTGGTGGCTTTGTAATGCGTCAGCTGGGCTAAGCTGAATTTTGTTTCCCACAATTCCTCTCCTATTTCTTTTTTCTTTTTTTTTTAATATATCTTTATTGATTTCAGAGAGAGGAAAGGAGAGGGAGAGAGAGAGATAGAAACATCAATGATGAGAGAGTCGCTGATCGAGCCCACAACCCGGGCATGCGCCCTGACTGGGAATCGAACCCGGATCACCTGGATTCCAGGTCGATGCTCAACCGCTGAGCCACGCCCGGCCTGGCTCTCCTATTTCTGATCAGGGTTAGTCACAGAGACATTTTTGCCTGAAATTTCAGGAGCCCTTTTTGTTGCTTTTCGTGCAGAAGTTTGGGACAGGCACGTCTGTAGTTCACACACATTGGCACCTATCTGCAGACTCACCTCGGCGGCATGAAGCAGCCGTTGGACCTGTGACTGCCCTTACTTTCCTGGGCTCCTCCTTCAGCTTCTTCCACACCTGGGGCAGGTGTGTGTTTAGCTCAGTGAGGAGGAGCACCGGCTTCTCCTGCGGGACCCCCACGTCATCAAGGTTGGAGGTAGTAAGAACAGGCCAAGGTTCTAGTCCCTTCTTGTAGATCTAAGTTCACCCTGTGTGTCCAAGCTTGTCTGTCTCTTCCCCACTGCACACCCATCCACCCTTCCAGAAAGGCGCTTGGTGCACTGGGCCTGGCTCCTGGTTTGTTTGTTTGTTAAGGACACCCTGGTGTCCTTAAGCTCCAACATCAGAGACAAAGGCTGTTTACAGAAATCTGGCCAAACAGTTCCCACATGGGTCAAATCCCTGTGACAAATCCCTGACTATTAGTATCTCTGGTGGTTCCGCTCCTCTGGTTGAACCCTGGCCAACACAGCTTAAAGGGAGGGGCTGTGGGAGAGTGAGGCCTTGTACGTTTTTTGCTTGAAATAGCAGGCAGGTGAAAATATCATTTACAGAGCCAGACTGAGAGAGGAGGAAAGCTCAGGCAGGAAACTCAGGAGCTGTGTTTTGGATATATTAACATTGGAACGCTATTAGAGTGTAATCTGTATAGTCAGAACAAATAAGTGGGGACCAGGGAGCAGCTTTTGAATTGTTATAAGAAAGCTTCCCCGAAGTCTGGGATGTATACAGATGACACAGCTTGCCTCGGAGCTGGGTTAAAGAATGGCCGTGTTGACAGGAGGGGAGGTCCAGGCAATGGATGGGTACAAAACAGTACTTAATTTTAAGTAGTCTTCTAAAAAATTTCTTTCACTATAAGTTTAAATAGTTGCAGGCCTCCTGCATGAAATAGAACCACATCACGCCTACAGGCCCATCCCAGCCGGAAATCCCACAGTGATCCCCCGGGTGCCTGGGAGCCCCACCCTGCAAGCAGTAATAATTTGGGACCAGCTCTTTCAAGGTTCATGATTACTTTTGCAAAAATTGGGATTTTGACCCAAATGGTTGGCATAAGGTAAAAAACCATGCCCCTGGCCTGAAAAACTTGCAATTTTATTGGTATTTTTTTGTTTCCTTCTCTCTGCTGTGTTCCTCAATCGATGTGAGATGCAATCTGTACTCAATGCTATAAACAAGAACCTTCGAAACTGAAGGTCATGTCTTATTAGTGGGTTATCAAATTTATTGAAAGGGATTGTAACCAGCATTTAAAAAGAGAGAGAGAGGAAAAAAGGGAGAAGAAATACAATAATGGAATTACACAATATGGACTCTTCTGCCCGGCATAATTTATCCTGCAGAATTATTTTGAAATCCATCCTTACTGCTCAAATATCAGAAGTTCGCCCCTTCTATTGCAGCGAAGGATACCCTGTATGGATAAACCACAACGTGTTTATCCATTCACCTGTAGATGGATGTTGGCGCTGTCTCCAGTTTTTTATATTACAAACGAAGTTGCTGTGGATGTTCATACACAGGTTTTTGTACAGAAGTATTCTGTATTCGTTTATGTGGTGGTGCACAGGAGAGGCCTCAGGAAAACAAAGCTTATTATCGTCACAGGTCCTGGAGGCATGAGGGATGACACGCCGTGCAGGGCCACAAGGGGAAGCACCAGGGTTGGTCAGGAGGGAGAGGGAGCAGGAACCAGGGGGGAGCCTTTGCTAGGCCCTTTATTGGCGTTTTGTGGAAAGGCAAGGCAGGCCAGGACTGGCTAGTCAGGCTGTTTTAGCAGGCTGTCAGCTAGCGGGGTGTCCCCTACGTGCTTGGTCCCTGGCCCTGGGATGATTTGTTCCCAGTGGCTTCAGATTGGTTCGTTGCCTGTCGAAGGCATGCATTGTGCCGGGCCCTTTGTCTCTAATACTGAGTAGCCAGAGGAGGGGCAGTCATTCCCCAGCAAGAAGGTTTTCATCATAATATACAAAAAATAAAAGACATAACCAGTGCATGGAATGCCTGGGTTGTATGACAGGTGCATGTTTGTCTTAGAAAGGTAAACCTCCAGACCACTGTACTGTTGACCCAGCAGCACACGAGAGGTCCAGCCGTTTCTATATTTTCTTCGGTACAATGTATGCTCAAATCATTGCCTATGTTTAAAAATTGGGGGAGGGGGGAGTTGCTTGTTTCTTCCCCCCCATTATTGAATTTTGAGAATTCTTTATATAGTTTGGACATAATATATGTACCACAAATATTTTCTCCCAGTTTCATTTTTTTTTAAATAAAATTTTAATTTTAGAAGATATTTAGATTTATTGTAAGATTGCAGACGACAGTTTAAAATTTTTCCATGTACCCATAAGGTGGCATTGTCAATCTCATCTCACCATTTCGGAGGCCCTGGAGGGTTTGGAAAGGGAACAAGAGGAGCAGCGATACTGGGCGCTCGCTGCAGAGGCCTCTGTGAGATGCCGTTCCGCTGCCAGCAGGCTGGGAGGGCGGTGGGGAGGGGCTCCCAGTCTCTCCTTGGAACCCGGGATGCCAACCTGTTTCTGGGCAGAGACTTTGGAAGTCTGAGGATAAATCCCAAATTTTCCTTTGGGATAAATTCCAAAAATACAAGCGTTATTGCAATTTATTTTCTTTTCACTGTTTCTGAGTCCTCAGGGTCCCAAGGTGATTGCTTAATATTTCTGTTTGTAAGCTGGCATTGCAGCCCAGGGCAAGATCTCTGTCCAGGCAAAGATCAAAACTATTCTTATCTGGAAACGCGCCAGGAAAGCACACATCATTCAATATTCTCTTCCGAGTAAATCATTGACAGTGAGTGGTTTTGATTTTTGGTTGTTGTTGTTATGAATACACGCCCTCCCGTGCGGCAGGTTTTGTGCCGGTCCCTCCTCTGCCGGCTGAATCACTCGAGCTTGGAATCGGGCGCCCGGCTGCTCGGGGCTGCGCTACCCAATGGCTCCCGCGGCGTGGACGGGCCTCCCTCTGTGCCTGTGCCTCCTGCTGGCACCCGGCTGCGCCCAGGCGGGCAAGCTGCTGGTCATCCCCATGGACGGGAGCCACTGGTTCACCATGCGCTCTGTCGTGGAGCAGCTCGCCCACAGAGGGCATGAGGTGGTCGTGGTCAAGCCAGAGGTGAGTTGGCAACTGAGACAGTCATCCAATTACACCATGAAGAGTTATTCCTCTTCTTACACCCTAGAGGATTTGAATCACCAGTTCTGGGTTTTCTCTGAGGCTCAGTGGAAAACTCGGGTGCAAGATGTACATTCTTTGCTATTGAGCCCATCCAACGGTATTTTTGATTTTTTTTTCTCACACTGTAGAAGTTTGTTCAACGACAAAAAATTAGTAAAATACATAGAAGATGGTGCTTTCGATGCAGTGTTTCTAGATCCTTTTGACCTGTGTGGCTTGATCGTGGCCAAATATTTTTCACTGCCCTCCGTGGTCTTCACCAGGGGCGTGTTTTGCCACTATCTTGAAGAAGGGACCCGGTGCCCCAGCCCTGCTTCCTACGTTCCCAGGGGCTTCTCCGCGCTATCGGACACCATGACCTTCAGGGAGAGAGTGCGGAACCACGTTATCCAACTGGAGGAACATTTAATTTGTCACTATTTTTTCAAAACTGGTTTGGAAGTCGCCTCTGAGATTCTCCAGACCACTGTGACAGCCAGTGACCTTTTCAGCCAACCATCCATTTGGTTGATACGGAGTGACTTTGTTTTCGACTATCCCAGACCTGTGATGCCCAACATGATCTTCATTGGCGGCATCAACTGCCACCCGGGAAAGCCACTGTCACAGGTGAGTTGCCCATCCTTTCCCCTGCTCAGGATAACCTGGCTTGGTCGTGAAAGGAAAGCAGAGATTCCGCACTGAGGCATGATCTGTAATTTGCATTAGTTACATTTGGAATCCCTTCGTTCCATGAACTACTATGTGTCAGTTCATTTAATTGTGTGTTAGCAAATTTTATTAAGCTGTCCCCTTTGATATTCATGTGTATACAACTGAGGCAATTGTATACAATTTCCAGGCTGCGTTTTTAAATGCTGTTTGGAAAAAAAAAATACTGAAAATCACAGTCAGAAAGGAAACTTCTTTGTTGGTTAATCCAATGCAGCCCCCTTAGAAAATGGCTCTTACCAGTTTTGTACGCACCTTATCCAAATTTTCCGAAGTTACTTTGCATAAATGCATATAGCTAATGTAGATTCTCACACTCATTTTATGAAAGCGAAATCTAGTATCAGACTGGATATATTGGTCTTTGCCTTTTTTTCACTTGCCGATGAATCAGGGACCTTTTTACAGCCGTTACATACAAATGTGTGACTCTTTTTAAGAGTTGCATAAGATCCTTTGCTTTGGGTGCGCCGTAGTTTATTCAAGTGACCAACATTGATTGATAGTTAAGCTTTTTTCTTAATGTTTCCTTTTACAGTAGGACTGTGCTAAACATTTTAATATAAATTCTTTACGTTCACGTATTTCCATAACCTTGCTCTTATTGTAGTGGGCCAGAGTCCTTAGGAGTAGGGCTGCTGGGTCTGATGCTATGTACATATTACACATTTGCTTTCAAAACAGTGAACAACATTACACTTTGGTCAACACATCTCCACCTTCAGATGTGTTCCAACTTTTAAATCTTTTGGAAAAGATTCTACATAGCGCCCTAGCCAGTTTTGCTCACTGGTTAGAGCGTCAGCCCGTGGACTGAAGGGTCCCAGGTTCGATTCTGGTCAAGGGCACGTGCCTCAGTTGCAGGCTGGGTCCTGAGCCCCGGCTGGGGAGAGTTCGGGAGGCAACCAATCGATGTGTCTCTCTCTCTCTCTGTCTCCCTTCCACTCTCTCTGAAAAGCAATGGAAAAAATATCCTCGGGTGAGCATTAAAAAAAAAAAAAATTCTACATAGTGCTTCCATTTTCATAGCTACATTGGTCATTTGCATTTGCTCTTTTGTGAATTATATATTCGCACCCTTTAATCATGTTTTTGAAGGCTACTTGTCTTTTTAATAGCTAATTACTACAAGTTTCTTCAGTATTAGGAACATTAACACTTAGCTCTTTATTTATGTTGCAGATACTTTTCCTGGGCTATTCTTCCTCCTCTGTCATGTAGTCAGTCTGGTGGACTTTTTCTTTAATGGTTTCTGGATATCAATTTGTTTAAGTCTTAGTCCAAGCCTGGGATATATAAACATATTTTCTATACTGTGTCTTAATTTTTTTAATTTCTCCAGTGTCAATAGGTTTACTTTTTTTTACAACGAGAACTTTACACAGAAGAATACAGGTCTAACTTTATTATTTTTCTCCGTGGATTGCCCATTGTTCTAACAATTTAATAAAAACAGCCCGCTCTTCATCTGTTGAATTGAGAGGCATCTTCATCATATTTTGAATTTCCATATTTATTTGCATCTGCTTTTGAACTCTCAGTTTAGGGGAGGGAGAGAGGAGATCGGTCTGTAAGGGGTCCTGTGGCACGTGAGACATCGGTCGTGGCTGAGAGGACTTTTAGGAGTAAGAGGGTCGATTGTGTGGTTTTGAGCAGTTTCCTGGGCTGCGTTGAGACAGCTCTTTTGTTAGGGACCCTTGATCTTCATGAAAGTTTTGCTACATGAGACAGTCCGGCCTTTGGAGTTGCCACAGGGGTGTGGCATCAAGCATATCTCAGCACAATTACTTTCAAACTCCACAATATTAACGTGAACCATAGGCTCAGGTTCTTTAAAAAGACATCGAGTGACTGCCTCCCGCACGCCCCCTACCGGGGATCGAGCCACAACCCAGGCCTGTGCCCCGACTGCGAATTGAACCAGTCGCCCTTGGGTGCACAGGACAACGCCCAACCAACGGAACCACGTGGGCCGGGGCAGACATTCTTTTTTTAAAAAATTGAGATATAATTTATATCATAACTTTCACCCTTTATACACATGCAGTTCAGTGGTCTTTAGTATATTCATGAATAGAAGCAACTATCACCATCCTCTAATTCCAGAGCATTCTCCCCGCTCCAAAATGAAACCCCATGCCCACTGGCAGTCACCTCCCCCGACAACCCGGAATCTACTTTCTGTCTCTACATATTTGCCTCTTGTGGATATTTCAAACAAACGGAATCATGTGATATGTGGTCCTATGCGACGGCTTTCACCTAGTGTTCACAGTCTAGGCGTTTGTAGCGTGTATAGGTCCTTCATTCTTTTTTATGGCTGAGTGCTATTCCACTGCGTGGCTATATTCTGTTGTGTTTATCCACTCATCGGTCCACGTTCTTACTTTTCGGCTGTGAGGACTATGCTCCTGTGAACACTTTTGTGCAACAAGCCCAGCGTTCTGACTTTAGGGCCCTTGTCCTGACCTTCACGCCGGACTGCCTCCCTCTGGCCACTGGAGACTTTTCGGGAAATATCCTGCCTGCGGAGTAGTTTGCTGAGGGTGTGTCTGACTGAATCACGTGGCCTCTAATCACTCAGCCGACCGAGTGATTTATTCCACCGTGTAAATGCCCCACAGCTGTTTGACCCGCTTATCTATTGACAGGCACTTGGGCCGCTTCCATATCTTGGCTACTGTAAATAACGGTGCAGAGAACATAGGGCTGCAGATATTCTTTCTAATTGGTGTTTTGGGATCCTTCAGATAAATTCCCAGAAGTGGAATTGCTGTGTCTTAAGGCAGCTCCATATTTAATCTTACGAGGAGCCTCCATACTGCTTTCCACAGTGGCCGAAGCAGCCCGCATTCCCCCAGCAGCTCGAGGGCTCGCTTGTCTCTGGATCCCCGCCAGCACTTGCTGCTTGGTGATTTGTTGATGGGAGGCATTCTGACAGGTCTTTGGGAAGTGATATCTCGTTGTGGTTTTGATTTGCATCTCTGATGATTAGCGATGTTGAGCATCTTTTCATATGTCTCTTGGCCACCTGTAGGTCCTCTTTTGGAAAAGTGTCTATTCCGGGCCTTTGCCCATTTTTTAAGTGAGTTTTTTCTTTCGTTTCCTGCCTCCAGTGAACGTTGGGGCCTGCTGGGAACAGGCCCCACAGCCAAGCCCTCTGTTTTTCATAGGCCTCTTGTTTAGTAACACGAAGACCAGAGCAGGTCTCCGCTAGGAGGGGCCCAGGCCCAGGTCCTCAGCAGGGTGGGGTCCAGGAAGGGCCTGAGGTTTGGACCAGCACCTGCTTCTGCCCACACACACTTGCTGCAGCCGGACTCCCTCGGGAGGCGCTGTTCTTAGAAAGAACCCAGGGGGCTGTGCCTGCCCGGAGCGGTGGACCTGCACTGTGCTCCTTTGTGGCCATTTTGGGGTCTTATTGTTGTCCAGATGGACCCACCCCAGGACGCTGCCACCTTCCTGGCCCTGATCATTGTAGGCAGAACACCCTGTTGGCACCCTTCTCCCTGGAGGCTGCGATGAAATCTGTTTTCTGTGGTTGCCATTCTGGCAGGTGTGAGGCGATACCTCATTGTAGTTTAATTTGGCTGCGATGAATTGAATTTGCATCTTGGCTGTGTTGTTGGACCCAGCCCTGTGCTTGGGATGGTCTTTTGTATCCTGTTCCTCAGGCTTTTTCTCCTTTCTGGGTTCCAGCATGCCTCCTGAGCCAACAGGCATGAGTTAGGACAGGACTTTGCGTGCCAGTTCGGCTGTGCGTGACTCGCTGTGGGCGAGTCGGTTTTGGCCACGCTTGGCACCGCCTCTGTCTTGAACGGCCTGGTTCCCACATCCCTCGCCCTCTTGGGCCTCCCTCAGCAATATGACAAATCAGGCAGGACAAGCATGGCTCTCTCTCCCTGGGTCTCCGCTGAGAAACCTGAAGATCAGGAGGTGGGTCACACCCCTGGCTGGTGGCCGGGCTGGAAGCTGACGCCAGGCTCCTTCAGGCCCTCGCCGCCTGCCTGCTGCTTAGACTTACACTTCTCAGGTCTTCATTTCCTAAAGGCAAGGGACAGAGTCCATGCTCATAGCATCATTGACTAGCTTTTCTCGAAAAAAGAGAAGAGCACTTGGTTTTCTAAATGCTCTACGTCCTGTGCGAATCCTCACGCGCTTAAAAACCAAAAAAAGGAAAATGACATGTGAGAATAAGACAGGAGACTGAAAAGCGAGTTCCTTCATTCAGCAAACTCGGATCGAGCGCCTGCCGTATGCCAGGCAGTGTTCCGGACGCTGTGCCTACGGCGGGGACCGGGGACGGAACAGATCATCCCCGCCTTCACGGTGCCCTCGGTCTAGGTGGGGGAGTCGCATCGTGATAAGCTGCAGAGTAGGTGCTGAGCAAGGAGCTGAAGCTGAATGAGGAGGGAGGCGGGGCTCCCGAGTGATGGGCTGGGCCAGGTGGTGATGGGTTCAAGGGGAAACTTTGCCATGACACCGATGACACCGACACCGTGAGAACCAGGATGAAGGGAGGGAACTGCCCTGCGGACGTGCAGGAAAGAGTTGACACCTCGGTTTTGATCACTGCCCTGAACCACGGTTGGCCAACTGCAGCCCACGGGCCGAGTCTGACCTGTTTCCTGCTGTTGTGAACAGAAGTGGCTGTCACACAGCCCCGCCCGTTTGTTTAGGGCTGCCTGTGGCGGCTCTCCTGGTACAGCAGCAGGGCTAAGTCATTGCCAAGGGGACCAAACGGCCCCCCGAAACGTAAGCTATGTATTTCTTATGCCTTTAGGGAAAATTGATCGCCAATCCCTGATCTAGAGCAGCGATTCTCGAAGGGCGTGCTGCAAACCCTGAGGGTCCCCGAGACCCTTTTAGGGGCCTGCGAGGTCAAACTGTTTCCGTAACAGCACTAAGGCGCTGTTTGCTTTCTCCACTCTCATTTTCTCACGGTGGTACGGGGGAGTTTTCCAAAGACTTCGCCA